CACAGAAGCAGAAATCCGGGCATAGCCACCAATCTGGTGCGATCAACAGGAGCTGAAAATTGGTTGGAACAAATCATATTTCTTACCCTGGGTAACTTATGAAGTGGAGAGAAGGTTAAGAGTAGTAATCTCATCCTGTCCAGATGGAAAGCATCTATTGCAAACACCAAAAGATGAGGTTTTGGAGACCAAATTCACAATAGCTGGGTGATCCAATGAGAGGCCAACTCACCAGTTAGAGTTGCAAAATGAGAGAAAATCCAAGTGAACCTTGCAATGCAACATCTATTCTGTCGGGAGAATCTGCTTGGATTGAGACAATGGAACTGATAACACTGGCATCACCTGCAGAACATAGCAAGCTAGAAGGGTGATAAAACTAGTCCCAAGAAAGGAGGTCCAAAATTCAAAAATGAGTGAAACGAGACCACATGCCTCCTTGATGAGAAACATAAGACATCACCGTGGAATAGTCAAAGTGAAGCCTGACAATTTACCCTTTAAGAAGTACAGATCAAGAAACCTTCCCTGCTGAAGAGCAAGAAGGACAAAAACATTGGGTAGGGAATCCTCATCATCCATGCATAGACTCTGGAATTCCTGACTGTTGGTATATGTACCCCATCCCTGAAGCAATGAATTCATGAAGAGAATGGAACTCTGGACGAGGTGAGTAGTAGAGGAACCAAATTGTAGTAGTGTCCAAACTTAATCCCTCGAGATTGAAGAATGATCCGACTAAAGAAACTGGGGAAAACCAAGAAACAGATGCATACAATCCCTGGTTCTTAAAGACCAATAAAAGGATCACTCGTGTTTTTGTCCCAAAGGAACATGGGATTTGAGTGATGCTCACATTCCCAGAAGAGAAAGAACCATCCATGCAGTGGGAGAAGGAGAGGTGAGTAAGAGTGTGGCATCCTATTCTATAGCGTTGAGCAGGATGGGAGACAGCTGAGCTTGACTGAGAGATAAGATGAAAAATAAAAAATACCCAGACTGATGACATATTGAATTGGAACAAGAATAGATGTAACAGTCCCGAAAGAGAACTGCCTGGGTTGTATCTAAAAGTAGAAGCAGGATGTGATGGGCTAACAACTGATGAGATGTTGCCAGCAGTACCCTGTTATCCATGGAATGGTGTGTGCACAGTACGATGGAATAATTGGGACGAGAAAACTCGTACAATACAGCAGAACCCATGTTAAGGAAAAACCTCCTAAATGCAGTACCTGACCCTTGTGCCCCATAAATGCTAATAGTGGTGGGACTCCACTGCTAAGGCAAAGTGCAGATAGGAGCTGACTACAACTAAGGTGGACAACTACAATCCCAGTAAAAAAAATCAACACAGATTGAAGAATGATTAACTTGCAAACCTTGGAAAATCTAGGCATTGATATAGACAAGAAGCTCAATGACTAGACACCAATCTCCAGTCTTCATAGGCCCAACATCTAACAAGAATAAAAACTGCGAAGAATTAGCCTGACTCAGACCAACCAGACTCAGATAACCCAAGAACTAAGTTCCAAATCCCAATGAACTACGGGAGATGGAAACCTTACAGGTTGGGTGGATAATAGTGGGGAAGATGTGAACTGAACATCCAATTTTAACCCAAGGACCTGCAGAGCTTCTGGACCAGTTGTTAAGATTACCACATTGTGGAACTGAGCCACCACAGCTCCTGAAGGTATACAATAATCAATGATAATCATCTGACTAAGCAGTGGAAACCTTGGATATAGATAGAATCTATTCTGAGTATCAATGTACCAAAGAGCTAATGGCATGGATTGGTAGTCAAGAATAATGGTGGAACTATGATCCCCCTGTAGGAGATGATGAAATTTGAGACTCCAACAACAATTGGAAGAATGTTCAAGCCGAAAATTGAACCAACATACATGCTAACAATCGATCCAGCTTGTCATCAATGAAACTGGTGATCCTGAGTCTTCCAACAAATTGAGGTGAAATAAAACAAAATGTTGAAGTCGAATTGCAAGTCCATAGACTTACTCTGTCCAATCAGGGGACATAGACCTATATAGGTGAATTACAAACTGCACCTTAGAACCCCAAAATTCAAGGAGCAGCTGTTATTTGAGAGTCGGAAAAATGTCTCCACCTGGTGGTGGTAGGCAAAATCACGAAGTTCTGACAATATGTCGAGTAAGGCCTAACTGTCCCTTCATGAAACTAAGAAGTAAACCTTCCAGCATGAACCATAATTTCCATGTATGGAGAAAAAAACAAAAAAAATTCACTCCCAGACCCTTCAGCCATCAATTAAGTTGCAGGCTCAAAAGCAACCAGTAAAAAACCCAAAACAGCACATACTCGAAGAACCAACAGAAGAAAAACAAATCAAAGGCAGCTTATCCCAAAGTGGCCTCCTTTTCATTTTTCATCGGTCATTTAAAGTCCATAGTAAAGTAAGTTGTTTTGTTAGAACAAAGCAACTACAGGCCATCTAACTTGTCCAACCTAGGAAATTGAACCCCAGCACTGCAAATCCTTAAACTTACCACTGATCCACAGGGGGGATGAAAATCCACCAGACTAAAAGAATGCACAGGAAAGTGCAAATCTACAGTCTCTTCAAAATGTTAAGGACTGCCCTCAAATGCAGCCTCAGGGTCGTCCAGAGGACCACCACAGATCTAAATATATGTCTCACAATGAATAAGATTACTAACAGTCTTAACTGAGAGTAGAAACCCAATTGACCTCCATGCTAGAAATAATAATCCAGGAATTCATACTATAATTGGCTTGCCAATCAGAAGAAAGAAAAAATATTTTCTTTTGATTATTATTATTATTGTTATGAAATCAATTAGATAACACAAAAATGTTGAAAGTATCTCCAAACGATCATAACACTGAGAAACCCATTAGTGACACTTTGTCGATAAAAATTGATCTGAATGAGATACTTATATACAGTAACAGGACAGATGGCGCATTGACGTAGGTGGAGAGTATCACAAGATAGTTACCTCCAAGGGCAATTGAGTAGGGTATAAAAGACTGGAGCAAGCAAGAAAAATCAGACTAATGCTTAAATGGGCAAAAAGGAAACCCTGGTGGCCATGTAATAGCTAAAAGTGTCAGCAGAGGTAAGTATTATTAGAAATACATTTTCGGTTTAGGAAAATGTTAACTTTTGATTAGTTGGTTATTTTCATGACATTAATCAATTTAATTAAAATTTTCAGTGATCAGTTAGCTTACATGGCACTAATTGATGTAATTTCTTCTCACAGATAATCAGTTAAATTGCCCAGTTCAAATCTTGATGTCTTACTAGTACTTTTAAATAGTGATAGGAATTTAAGCTGTAAATTGGCAGCAAAGGTAAGTTTCAGAATTAGTGTTTCCAACAAGTACTGTTTTTGATCATTCTAACAACTGATTAATTAAAATTACAATTAAATCAATTGACATGAAAATAACCATTTAACTGAAATTACTGTTTTTCTGGTTATAACAGTCTTGGATTATTTCAACAATCAATAAGTCACAATAATGTCATTATGTTTGTTGCTACACACAAAGTCATATAATGGGTTATATGTACTCTTCCCAGTGTGTGAACTGAAACTGATTCTACCATTGTAAGTCTGTTTTTCTTTCTACTTCAAGTTCATTCAGTTTTGGGACAGTATGGCCTAATAATTCAGAAGGTGCCTAGTTATTCAAGAGCCTTGATTTAACTCACATTGCCACTAAATTTGATTGCCCTGTCATTTTTATGGCAGAGCTATTAAGGCTATCTGCTAGTACCCACAACTAACTCTTTGTTTGGGGAACATTGTACTAATTGATTAACTGGCCTCTCAACTAATTGATTAGTAAATACCACTAATCACCCAGTTCTAATCAAAATTTGTTTGAAATACAATGCAATCCTGATACAAGTGCAATAACTCAAAAGGAAGAAGGGAACACGAGAACTGTGGGTAAGCTTATTCATGCTCTGCATTGTATCAAGAACATTAAGTACAGTATGTGAGCAAATTAAGAAGGAAAGGCTTTTTGTATTTCAGAGTTAAGTCTGTAAGTTTTGAATTATAAGTTCACTTATTTATGTTTGTTGTTTGAATATGACAAACTTAACAATAATATTCAATAAATAAGGATTTGAGTCACTAGAACATTTTACTGTTGTTTCCATACTCTCTAAACCCAATAAGAGTTACCCCAGGTCTTATCATAGAAACAAAATGTCAGTAGCTTTCAAACAAATACAACACAAAACATTTTAAGAGATGAAATGAATGTCTGAGGAAACTATAAAAAAATCTCAGATCTTTCGTTTGTTCCTAAGCTTCCCAAACTTCACACTCAATTGTTGTTCCTTTGCAGGAGCTACATATAATCACTTCCCACAAACCAATAGTTACTGTTCAAACAATTCTATTCATTCTACACTGACATAAATAGTTTATAATTTGCTTTAGTCAATGGTATTTAAACTTTGCCAATAGCTATTTTCAAATTGGTTCTTCATTTATAGTTGTTTTCACCCTTTTATAATCTCACAGCATGTGAGCAGAGGCCAGTAATAATAAATTCTTAAACAAAAATGGAAGATCACGAGAAAAACATGACTTTGTTGATGTATTCTCAATTGATGATAGTTTTTATTTTCTAAAAAACTATCATCCTTTGAAAATATAATTTAGGTTAATCAGAAAAACCTAAAAATTATTAAATGCACTAATCAGAAGAAAGATGACTCAGAGTTGTGCATGCACATAAGTTTGAGCATTTTATACAATTTTCTTTATGAATGACATTAAGTTGCAAAATGAAGCACTATCAATTCTAACACATTTTTGAGGAAAAGTGAATTCTTATTTTTTACTTATATTTTTTAAACTTGATATGCAGGTGTGCATTTGACATCTCAAATATGGTTTCTGGTCCAGAAATGGTTAAATGTGTAAGTCAATTTGCAAATGTAGATAAATAAAAAAATATACCAATAATTTGCTGTTTACTTTCCAGAAGTTCATAATAGCTGGCTGCAATAATTCCTGCAGGGCATTGGGGATTAAAATGTCCTGTGCTGACCAGTCTTTCACAAGCTTCCATCAAAGAATATGAAAACAGTGATGGGTCAATTCCATAGGTTCTCCATCCTCCAACACCATCAGCAACACCTATACAATTTAGAATTATAAGAAATTAAGTTAAAATGAGAAAACTATTACATATTCTTAATTCACTCTACTCTTTAGTGATAAATACATAACAATAAACAAATCTATGTAAAAATGCTGATGATAAAAAAATATAGTTTTCTTTCTTACATTCAGCTGTTAAGCTTTATCATTACAATCAATTGTATATCTTACAGTGATTATACTTGTAATCAAAAATGAGACTTAGAGTCATAGAAGAAGGAATTTCCACAGAATCCTCATGCTTTCCACCTTAAATGAAGAATGTCCAATTAACAGTTGAGATTTTTGGAAAAAAATCTAGTACCAGTCTCCAACTTCTTTAATTTATTGCTAGTACAAAGAGACAAGAGTAAAAGCCTAGGAAACATGATGCTCTGCTTCAACAGCCCCTTTCTGTAAAAGGCTCAAAACTCTTGGTCCAAACTTTTAACATAAACTGTATGAGATTGGAAAGAAACTGAAATACCCAAAAGTAGAGAAGAATACTGAAATTGTATAAAAGGGTCCAAACTGAAGAATCTGATGAAACAAGATTCCACAGATGAACAAAGGATCCTAGATGGCCCCCACAAAAAAAAACCCATAAAGGATGGTCTATTTGGAAACAAAGAAAGTCATTGTCTGGGTTAAGAAGGTCCATCTCATTTGCTTCTGTGTTTCACAACTTGAAAGGAATGCAGAAGGACAATTATTATTAACTAGATAACAAGATGTAAGATGACAACCAGAAATAATGCACAAAGTCAAAGGCCTAATCAGCTTCTGTTGGCAAGCTTCTCCTGACTGAGAAATCAATCCATGAGAAATATAAAATTATGTAAGAACTTATTGGAGGTTGTCAAAAATACTGGAAGGAAGAAAAGTCCTTTGTAAAAATAGCCCCACAAACTAAACAAACAAAAAAGAACAAGCTAACCATGTAGTCAATGAGACTAAATCAATAAGAGCTGAAGAAAGAGAAATATGGAAAACAGTCATTACTCCTGGAGGGGGAATAAAAACAAAAGTTAACATTTTCTTACACTGCAAATGTATTTCTGATAGGTACCTACCTCCTCTGCTTCTGCTTTTAGTGTACGATACATATGTGCATATACTCACACACATATATTAGAGAAATATAAAACTAATACAATGCATGAATACTCAGTGGTCGTGCTAACTTTTTGGTCCAGGCATTCCAAAACACACCTGCCTTTCACAAGTTTCATTCAAATACTTAAATACTGTTTGTTTGCACAAAATTAATCTTGTCATTTTGTCAATATAAACACCGTTACTCATCTAAACATGACTGTATGTAACTCCACAAGCATTTGGTTTGAATTGGATAACTGTAAAAATGACACCACCACAAACCATATATCAGTCAGGATTCATGTTTTGTCATGTGCCCAAAAATAAATTGTTAGCGATTCATTTATTTGCAGTTTTTAGACAATAAGGAGTCTACACATGTATGTGATTACAGCTAATTTTGTTGTAGTTCAATCCCAAGGGTGTTGAATATATTATAATGTTCACTGATTTGAAGAAACACTGACCTCATGTTTTGAATTGTTTGCACACATGCACAAAGCACCTGCACATTGATTATGAGCATTAATCACTGCTATAAATATAAATTGATGTATATTAAGTCTCATTCAATGCCAATAATAACCCGAGCTTGACTTGTACATTTTGACTTGTAACTTGTAGAACTAATTATTTCATAAAAATTATGTTGACAGTTTTTAACCAAATTTGAAAAATATTACTTTAGTTAATAATTTAGAATAAAATTCTATCATGTTATAGAACTAGTTTTCATGAAAACGTTTTTCATTTCTTAATACCAAGATTTATTTTTTAATTTTAGTTCTGATTTGAATAAAAAATAAATACTGAGTTGTAAGGTTTGGATTGTATCTGTTGTAAGACCTGTTCTGCAAAAAATATAAAACAAAATTCTCTGAGCTCAATTTTAAAATAAGTAACATTACATCATCTTGAATTTTTATTTTCAGTTATATTTCATCAAAAGTCAATTAAAAAGCAAAAGTTAAACAGTTAGCATTAACAAATAGAAAATTTCCTCAATGTTAAATTAAGCACTTATTAAAAAAAGAAGTTGTGACTTGTCTGTAATAGTGAATATTTCAATTTCAATTAGATCTCTATAGTTGAAATGTTCAATGCTGGGCTCTTCCATAGACAGAATCAACTCTTCACTGTGTTCTGTAGTCAAGTTGCTTTTCCACAAGTTGAGAATGTGACTATGAAACTTTTTTATAAATATTTAAAAAACTGAAGTTCTAAGACAAATGGAAGCAGTTTTTTTACAAAACAGTCTCAAAATATTTTGTACATTTCACAAAATAAAAGTTATAGAAAAAGTAAATCAAATTATATTAATTTCTTTAAGTATTATTAAGTTAGTTCTAAGTTTCATGCAATATGTGAAGTATTTCCACTGTTAGAAGAGAAAAGTCAATGGACATCAGTGACACTGTCCTGATGTGGCTTTATTACTGCTTCACTTATCCATTTTCATGAATGCTGTGAATGCAGAACATATTTTTTCATCCAACAGATATATTTTGTATCCAGGATCTAAATTTTTGCTTTTACACAACCACTGAACACTTACCAATTTAAATACATAACTGTTCAATCTATTTAAACCACATTAACCAACTTTTCTAGAAATGTTCAGAGTACACAACTTTTAACAGTATCTAGACAATAATACACTGATTTGAACAAGGAAAAGTGCCTATACATTCAATCTTTTATGCATTTTACTGTTAAGTCTAGATCATTAAATAAATTGATAGCACTTGTCCATCAAAGACAACTGAGAGTCCTAAATAAAACCTTCAGAGTTGAAAAAACTATGAATGGAGTATAGCAATAAAAGCAGTTTTTTCAAGTAATGGCTATTTGTTCTACATCTCTCTGCATATGGATGTTGATAAAAAATAATCCTGGTAGTTACAGGCCTATTATTCTTACATCAGTTGTGCAAAAAGGTTTTGAAAGTCTGATAAAAGATGTTTTGTAAAGTCATTAAACAAAGCTTAAAAATTTGTTGGATAGCCAACATGGTTTTACTAAGAGAAAATCTTGTCTTATTAAAATTTTGATATTCATTGAAGAGGTTGCTACATATGTAAATGAATGTGGTATGGACTTGGTACATCTGAATTTTCAGAAAGCATTTAACCAGGTGCCACATAAAAGGCTTGTTAAAAACAAATGATTGCTATAGGTGTAGAGGATAAGTTGGCTCAATAGTTAGAAAAATGGCTGATGGAAGACCTCAGTGTTGTTATAAATGGAGTATTGTTATAAACAAGATTGATGTCACAAATGGGTTACCTTTAGGCTTGGTCTCAGGACCATTGCTCTTTTTTATTTACATCAATGACATATATAAAAAATTACTAAATTTGTTCACAATATTAAGGTTTTTTGGTATTGCACTGTAAAGAGAATGCTGTTATTTAAAAAAAAGGACTTGGATTATTTGGTGAGATGGACAAACACTGGGAAACAAAAAAACTTTCTCTCTGTATCTTTTAGGAAAATAGCTGTTTTTGACTAATTTTGGGGCCAAAATTATGAAAATCATAATGTTTTTTTCATATCGGGTCAGGTTATTGAGATATTGCACACCTGCCTTGAGACTCATATACCACGTAGCTTGCCACCATTGACAGGTTGTTACCTAAGAAAAATAAAATTAAGAATTAAAGTTTACTTTATTCTATGAATAAAACTATTACAAAGCAGGATTTAAAAACTGTTAAAAGTGGGTTTTTGTGATTTCTGCTTGAATACTGAGTCACTTTCATGCTTGAGCATCCAGCAGTAATCCCCCATCATAGCTGGGTCCCAGCTACCCTGGCAGTTCTTCTCCATTCTCATAATATCTTGGTAAAAATGTTCACCATGCTCATCTGAGACATCACTAAGATTTTCAGAGAAAACTCTAAATGACTGGATAAAATGTATTTTTAATGACATCCGTGCATCAAGATCTTTATAGGCTGTCATTTCCTTAACCAAGGACTCTTAGTCAGTTGACTTGTTGTTGCCTAAGAACTTTTTGCATAAACTTTTAAAAGACTTTCAAGCACGAAATTCTTTCTTGTTTAAGCATAGAGAAAACTGATTATCTTTGAATATTATCCTGATCTGTGGCCCAATAAAAATACCTTCTTTCATTTTTGCATCAATAATACTGGGGAATTTCTTGCTTAGGTATTTAAAACCGTTGTCATTTTTGTCTAGAGCCTTGACAAAATTCTTCATTAAACCTAATTTGATGTGGAGAGGTGATAATAAAATCTTTTTTGGGTCTACTAATGACTTGGATTTCACACTGTATTCTTCGGGCACCAAAGATTGTCAAAGGGTTCAATCACTCTTCAAGTAATGTTCTTTAGTTGCCCTGCTGTCCCATAAGAAGAGAAAACAGCATACTTGGTAAAACCTTTTAGCATTCCAAGCAGCAAGCCTACCACTTTCAATCTCCACATATACACCATGAATATTTTTCACATTTAATATCATATCATACCATGAAGCACCAATTTATACCCATTATCCATGCCCCATATTGTCTCATTACCCACTATATATTGAAAATCTAAATATTATATGCAAAAATGAGGTTTAATTCTCTAAATAGCTCTATCAATTCAATAAAAAAACAGTGATTTTTGAGAAAATATGAATAAGACAAGATGATCACTACCCCGGACCTACCCCCCACATGTACCACCCTCCCTTATACTGAAAAACCTGGACACATTGTGCAAAAAATAAGTTCATTTTCGTAATCAGCACCCTCATATTAGTAAAGAATTATACTTGTTTAGTAAGATACAAAAATGTTGTTGACCAATGTAATTATCAGATGGCTTTTAATTATAATAAATTCAAGGTAGTCATGTGAGAAATCATAATTTGTATTATGAAAGGAAAGGATTTTGGTGTAGTGGTTGATCATCCTCTTAAGCTATCCAAGCAGCATGCTGTTGCTAGTGGTAGAGAAAATAGGATATTAGGTTGTATCTAGAGAAATATTGAATACATTTCTGTAAAGGTTAAAATATCAATGCAAAAGCCACTGGTTAGACCACATTTGGAGTGTTGTATTCAGTTTTAGGCTTCTTACCTTAGAAAGAACATTAAGAAGAGGTACTAAGTTGATAACCTGGGATGAAAAGATTGTCTTACAATAATAGCTTAAGACCTCTGATGATATTTTCTCTTGAGGAAAGAAAAGTTAGAGGAGATCTGATTGAGGTGTTTAAGAATCTTAAAGGAATTGATAGTGTTGGTGCATCATCTTTTTTTCATATTTAATAGTGAGAAATGTAGGACTAGGGGACACAAATATAAATGTTGGTATGGTTGGAGTCATCTTCAGCTAAGTTTTATTTTTCTAATGGATTCTTTGGCCTTTGGAATTGATTGCCTTCAGATGTAGTGGATGTAGTAAATTTAAGGGAGTCAAAGGGAAGGCTTAATAAATATTTGAATCATAAAGATTGGCATTGAGTTTTTTTTGTTTTTAGTGGATGGGATAGCCTATATGGCTCAAAAGGTGGCTTGTCCTTAAATTTTATGTTATATATTTTGAAATGAATATTCAGAAACTTTTTACGTACAAGAAACCATGCTTTATAGGATAGTGCTTGGGGCAACTGAATAAAATACTGATAAGAGATCAGAATAAACTACCAACAAATATTAGATATATTATAGTTACTTGCAGATTTTTTTCTTTGTCTTTAAACCTTTTTTTTAAGAAAGAAAAATGTTATACATCCTTCAGATTTATTGTGTGACTTTGTTATAGCATTTAACATTGAACTAATGAGTTGAAGTTTACGTTAATAAACATTCAGTACTGTGTTAAAGAGTTTTGACAATTTATTCTTAAGTAATGTTCATCATTACATAAAAAAATAACTTGCATTTTTTAAAAAAAGTCTATGATCTGTTCTTTCTTTAATTGTTCTAATTTTAAGCCTCCCTTTTTTAAGTTGGATTTTAGCTCTGTTATTCAAAAGAACACAAGGAAATAAGCATTTTGTGGTGTTCATCAGCAGCAAGTTGAAACAAATTTTAGAAAACTGATTGGTAAATGAATAAAGTATGGGAAAAAATGTTTTAATTTTTTAGTAAAACATTTTTGGAACTCAGGTCAAGTTTTTTATGTTTGTTTTGTATGGGCAAATAAACCCAATTTTTATCTTAGTCTTAGCATCCCTCCTTTTAACCCTTTTTAGGAAATAAATATCCTTTATAAGATAGAGACCAAAACTGTAAACAATTGTCCAAAGTTAGGCCTAACTATTGATTTCAAGATATAATTATATTTTTTGACTTTACCCAATATGTCTACAAATATACTCATTGGTGGGTCCAAAATTAACAGTGTAGGGTGATCATATCTCAATTTCCAAGAACCAAAGTACATGAAATTCCCCAGGATTCAATTTATAACCTATGTAGTTCTTAAACCTTTTACTCCTGCTCCTCAGACATGATTACTCAACTAGGATTGTTACATTCTGAAAAATAAATCAATTAAACATAAACTGAAATTTTAAAAAAATCTACAGCTCAGCAGGTAGCCTACAGGCCTAGGATACTTTTTGGCATCTATTGTGTCTATGGACAGAGGCCTACAAAGCCCTAGTACATTTAGGACCTGTCTACAACTTTCATACATACATACAGGCAGAAATGATGAAAACTGCAATATATTATAGAAAAAATAAACATTATATTAAGAAAAGTTAAGTTTCTGTCTAAAAACTGCCAAGCTTTCACATGACACAGCCATTTACACTGCTTCTTTCATCTTTGAAACTGCCAGGTACAAATTAGTCAGATACACACACACACACAAATGTATTACATTTCAGCCTTTTTTCACCAATGATTGGTGACAAGATAGATATTTTGTCATGGATTTATGGAGGGATGCTTGAGCACCCCCTCCCCTGACACCCTAATATTCTATCAGCTTTGCTACAAGCAACAAAGCACTGCTTCAATGGCTTGAGTAACTTAAATACTACTATGCTAAGATCCTTTTCTTCAGTTAGTCATATGATCCAAATTATACCTCAAATGCACTACCTTGCATGTATAGTAATTAAAGGTCATTTGCTAAATATCTCCCCAACTTACCCAATGCTCCAAGTTATTTTATAATACCTCACCACCCTCAATACAGCTAGAAATTGTTAAATATTAGGAAACTTAACTAATTTAATAATTATTCCCTAACAATACTATTAATGTAAATAATAAAAAGAACAAAAACTCAAACACTGACCCTTGAAATGCTTTAATAGTGATAGTAACAAGGGTTCAGTTTGACTAGACTCCATTAATAACCACCTTTTGCTTTCTCCCATCCAACCACCTACAAACCATTTAGCAAGTCTTTTGTGTGCCACATTATCAAAAGCTTTTTTTGAAAATCTAAGTACCCTATGTCTACACCCTTTCATTTATGTATGTAACAAGCAGCAGTCTTAAAGAAAAAGATAACAGATTAATAGGCAAGAATCACTTTTGGCTTTCATTTCTCTAAATGCTTTTCTAAAGCCTCATTTAATACAGAAAAACTAACTGGCCTATGATTTTCAGAGCAACTCTTATCACCTCTTTCAGAAATGGAATAACATACGCAATTCTTTAATCCTCAGGCACCTGCCCACATTCTACCATAAAGAGAGAATAACGTTTCATATATGATCCCCTTTAAAATCAAGAAATTAATATCTATATGATTCAAGACAGTTCCAATATTTTACAGAGAATTATCAGGGTCCTAATATCACTACTACTACCCACTCTTCTAAAAAGGGTAGAGAAAATTTAATTGCTCAGTCATCTCACAGTTTTCAACGAAACTCTTGTGGATTCTATTCTTTGGACAGAAAACTAATAACAACAGAGAGACACATGTATCGTTTGGTTTCAATGTATTTTCATTTCAGATGGTTTTCATGTGATACATTGTATCTCCTCATATTGTAACATCTTTTTCAGGCACTAGTTCTATTCCTCCATTTAGGAGAAGGTATATCTTGAATTTAAAGAAATGTGCAAATTATAGATAATGGAATAGACAAAATATTAAAGTACTCAAACAATCAATGTTATATAATACACAATAAAATTTTATTTAAAAACCGACCAAAGTTGTAAAAAACACAATATATGTTTCAACATCAGTTATTTTTCATACTCCTGAGATTGACGTGAATAACGTCGAAACATCTAGTGTCTTTTACAACCATTAATAATTTTTTAAATAAAATATTAAAAGTACTCAAACGATCAATGCTGTATAATACACAAAATTTTTTTTTAGTATTTTAATATTTTAAATATTTAAACAAGATCCTTGTATTTTAACTTATAGTAGAGTTTCAAGTGCAAAATTTACTTTAAAACTTATTGTTGGAAAAAATCATCATTGGCACACTGAACTACAATTTACTTTCATTATAACCTACACACTTGAATTGAAATAATACTGCAAAGTTAAAATACCATTAGAATATTTATAATACATTATATTTGCAAATGCTTACAAATGTACAAGATGGTACATTTGCTTACAGGCATTATTTACAGTTGAGGTTCATTCTTTTAAAATTAATTTTCTTGGTATTTTGGAAATTCCCTATATTTTTTGACATTCTTAATTTAGAATGACTTTGTAACATTAAACAATATCATCTGCCTAATCAACAATCAAATGCCATTGAAAATCTAACGTTTTTCTGTCACTGAAGTTTATGAAAGACATTAACTCCAATATTTGTCATTTTATATATTATCAATGTAACAGTTAAAAAGAATTTAAAAAACAATACCAGTTATTGGTTCAGCCTAGTCTTTTTACTTAAAATAAGTTGGTTTTACTTTTACTTTTTATACGTGTAATAATTAATACGTTTCTTAATTTTAAATTCTTGTCGTAAACTTAAGACACAGTTAACTCACCTAAAACATCAGATGTTTTGTATTTTGCAATAAAACAAGCATCATCTCCAAACCGTCCTTTCCGTAAAAGCGAGGCTGAAAAAGTGGACCAATCTTTCGGAAACCCACATGACGCAGTTAACAAGCGAAGATCCCGTTTAGAACTACAGCGTGCAACGCATGCTACATCTGTTGAATTACTAGAGTAGCTATACACGCCGTTTATACGATTTAATAAAGCTCGTGTTAAAACTCTTCCATAAGTTATCGCTAATTGCATACTCCTAGTCCTGGCATACATTTGGGATAAATTATTGTAAGTAACAAGTAATTATATCTTAAAGTCATAAAGAAAAACTAATTTCTGTCTAAAACTACATATAAATGAGATACAATATTATAACCTTACTCCTATGAGCATGGCGAGCTTAACGTTAGCGACATCTCGTACAAAAATGTCTATGTATATATGATTAATAGGATTTTGAACATTTAATTTGATTTCTATATATTTTGTCCTTCGCGTCTTTTGACTAATTTAAAATGTTATGTATATATATATCTGAATATTCACTCTTCAGATTTAATGTTGAAAATCATTTTGATCGAAACAGAGCACCCAGCGTTTGTTTTCTTTATTTGTTTTGAATTCGCGCGTAGCTACAGGAGGGCTATCTACGCTGACCGTCCCTAATTTAACAGTAATAAATTAGACTAGAGAGAAAGCAGCTAGTCAATACCACTAACCTCTAAATGTTGGCCTACTCTTTTATCAACGAATAGTGGGATTCACCGTTACATTATAACGCACTCACGGCTGAAAGGACGAGCATATTCGGTGATGGGGTTTCGAATCCACGACCCTCAAATCACGAGTCGCGTGGTTTAAACACCAGGCCAAGCCAGGGCTTAACACCCAAAGTAGAGTCAATCCTTGGCAGCGGTTAAGCATCCCTCTTTCAGAATTCTTTCACTTTCCGTAATCCGTGCAGAACCTTGTAGATCCATCCTTCTTCTTCACAGGTACAATACATGATGCCCAAGGATTAGTACTCAGTTCTATTTTTTCTTTGTTCCACCATGGTTTCTATCTCTTTGAAAGCTCTAGTCTGTATTGCAAGTGGGAACCGTTTGGCTAACTGACGTATTTGGGCTAAATATCCATTATCAAACTTATGAGATATTCTATTTGTTCAGCCTAAATCAGGCGGTACTGGAGAAGGTATCTTGATATTCTATGAGAAAGTCATATAATATATGGTTCTGATCAACTCTGATCTGAGATCTCCAAAACTCCAGCTATAGCGCTTTCATGAGTGAAGTGTTAAGCTGTCCATATGTGAGGATTTGACATCAGACATTTTTGCCATAAGAGTGACTTCTTCTGACGTTCTTTGATATGGGTGTACTACCTTTATAGTTTCATATCTTGCAAGGTCTCATCCAGACTTAAGCCAAATTTTATGGTTGTGTTCATGCCATTAATGATGACATCTTTATTCTTCAGATCTATAAGAGTTCTTCCAACCATTAATACTTCAAGACACATTGGAGTGTTTGGTTCTATTACGTCTGAGTCTTTAAATGTAAATTTATTTTCAATACGTCCTGTTATGAGTATTTTTTGATAGTACAATTACTTTTCTTCTTGTTTACATGAGAAGTTCAGCCACTGATGTAGTAAATGTCATTTAGTTAAGATGGATTCCCTGGTCATAGACTGTGAAGCTATTCGAAGCTAGCCTAACCTCACATCCACGTTTCCATTTGAAGTTAGTTCCCAGTATACACTTTTTCTTGATGACAGTTACTCAAAAGTATGAAATGTAGAGAAACTTCCTAAAGTAAGGGTAACTTTAAACTTTCCTCTTGCTGGGATTTTATGTCCACTTGATATTTGCATCACCTTACTCTCATTCTTTATCTCTGGAAGTAATTTCTTACCTTTCATTACCATATTGGGTCAAACTATTGTACCTATATAACCAGTGTTCATCAAGAATAGACTTCCCATCTTAAACCCATAAATTTGTGGACTTGTTTCTTTAAATTACAAATTTATTATCTCGTTTGGGAGCAAATGGAATATTCTCAGCTGAATATTGCTCAAAAAGTTCAGCTAATTCCTGTTTTTCAATGTCTTGTTAGCTCTATATTCTTGAAGGGAACCGAGTCTCATCCTTAAGGTATTGATTCCTTGGCTTATTAACAGTAGTTGGTTGATTATTCATAGTCTCAGCTGTAGTGGCCATATTTCCCGTATTTATAACAGTCTCTGGTCGTTTGTTAATTTCCGGTATAAATTCTTCCCAAGGAACTTCAGCGATACAAGTCTTTCTTAAATAAAACTAGTTTATTCTTTCTCAATACAACTTTGCAATACACAGAATATCCATAGTCACTTTAACTTAAACACACGCTGTAATTCACAACGATTCACGCACTTTACCTACGGTCACCACCGCTCACTAGACTCAATTATCTGTCTCTATATCTGTCTATCTGCAATTTCCCTATCTCCACTTTATTTTCCTGGCTTATATACTAAAATAGAGGGCGCCTAGAAAAGACTAGAGCTGCCAGGAAAAGTCATGATCCTTCTAGAAACTCATGACGTGTTACCAGCGTCACATGACTTTCGCTGTCATAACAACAGTTTCTTTTTTTCTTAGATCCCTTGAGAGGCGTTTTTATTCCATACATGCTTTTGTTTGCCTATCCTGGCAATTTTTGTGCTCAAAGACTTGAAACACCCATTGACTTCTAGTTTATTTCCTCCATTGTGTCTAACTAGTTGGTTATCTTCAGTTCTTATATCACACCTGATTATGCCAGGTAAACCTGGCGAAACGTTATGAAGAAAATAAACTATATACAGCCGACAAAAACTTGTGTGAATTATCAAACTCAGTCATAAAATTTAGCTAGCCAGTTCAATAATATTATCCAATTAAGATAGCAACAGATTATGATGGAAAAGTATGTGGGAGGCATATCAAGCTTAGTTTGAAATAATTTCTAAAGTGAACAGGTGGAATAGTAAACAACAAGTTATTCATCTTGCTCTTCATTCACAAGGATAAACTTTAACAACATTAAGTAACCTTCCAAATGACAGCCATAACAATTATCAAGCATTTGTCGCTGCCTTCCACGGGTTAAGAGCAACATACCAGAAAGAAGTATTCAGAGAGAGCAACAAATCAGAAAGTAGTATCAAGAGCAAAGCTATAGAATAAGGTTTGAAGGAAAGAAGTAGTGTTAACTGAACTTTCAAAAAATTTAGAAAGTCTTGTCTAATTATATTACCCCCAATACACCATGTAAAATGATGGATGTGTTGGCACATGACCATAATAGACGAGGATATGAGAATTAGATTGAAGTAAAGTAAGCGTACATCCTTAAAGGAAGCTCTCCAGTTGATGATGTTAGCCACAGTTCTTGTATCTCACCTGATGATGCCAGGTAAACCTTGAGAAACGTTGTGAATAAAACAAACAAACGTTTTACTATGTACAATCTATAAAAACTAGTGTGAATTTTAACAATACATAATTCTTTCTAATATTTAATTCAATAATATCATGGCTGGAGTAGTCAATGAAGGTCCTGTATTCACCGATGGCACAGCAGTAGTGGCAACAGGTGTAGACCAAATAGGTTTCCCTATTCCATATTTTATAATAAATGATGTCTTAGGTTGGAATATTTGAGCGGATGCAGAGAGGAGTGTGGCTATTTGAACTTTGTATTGAACAGTTCATTTTCCATTGTTTTATTCTGTCATTGATGTTCTTTTCTACCTCACTGATCGTGCTGTTGTAGTCTCTCTGTACTTCTTCAATTTTGTTATTACAGCCTTTCTGTACTTTGATGATGTCTTTTGCACTTCTTAACTCTGTATGTCCCCCAATAACTTATGGATCTTGTTTTGAATATAAATTATTTTTATTCTTGTTTGTTTGTTGGATTTTGCTCAAAGTTACTCATCTGCTATCTGCACTAACAATCACTAATTTAGAAATGATAGACTAGAAGGAAAGCAATTAGTCAACACCAACCACTGCCAACTTTTGAGTTACTTTTTACCAACGAAAAGTGGGATTGGCCATCATATTTCATGCCCCAAGGCTGAAAGGGCGAGCATATATTCGGTGACGAGATTTGAACTTGCGACCCGCAGATTGCGAGTCGAGTGTACTAACCACCAGGCCATGCCAGGCCCCATATTTGTTCTTAATTCTTCTTTAAATATTATATCTCTTTCTTTTAATTATTCTCGTAAACTTCTGTCTCCTACCTTTTGATCTTTTTTTTTAATTTCCTGTTTTGTTTATCCCGTTCTATATTTCTTTCTTTTTTTATCTTTTCTTAATTATCCATCTTTCTTCTTGGTCTTCTTTCTCCTGTTTCATTGATTTTATCAAATTATCGATCTCGCTTGTCTGCGTTGTTGTTATCTTAAAATTAAAATTTAGTCAAAGATTTATTTTCATCAAAATAATCCCGCTTCTGAAACTAGTGTTTTAACAATTCAAACCCAATATAAACTACAAAATCAAGTATAATATCGTCACCGCAAACACAGGCAGTAAAAAAACAAAACTTTTCATTGAATATTTTAAAACAGTTTTTACTACCTCAATCAAGAACATTTTAACAAAATTAGTATACTTAATATACAAATCTCATTTCTTAGTGACGCTAGCAGATCCCACTATAATCCCATTACTAACTGTATAGCTCAATCTATAATCAAGGCAGAAATCAGAATTCATTTAAATAATCTAAAAAATCAGCCTCCTGGGAGGACAGCATCCACAATATTGCCCTCAAAAATACATCCAACCTCTTTATTTCAGTGCATTGTTTAATTTATCTTTAAAATTTGGATATTATTCAAGAATATGGAAAAGCATCTTGATTAGCATTATCTCAAAGAAAAAGTAATGAGCCAAGTAAACCAAGCAATTAATGGTCAGTTACCCTCATTAACTTTATAAGTAAAATGCTCAAAAAATCTGCAAGGCTACTATTCCACCATCAAACCAACAACCTATTATTAATGAAAATCTATAATGCAATGAATAAATATTTCCAGACATCCACCACTTAGTAGGATTAATTGAATCAGTACCAAAGACTTAACTACAACAATGCAACTGTTGCAGTTTTTAGACTTTAAAAAGCATTTGATTCGATTTGGCATTACGCCCTAAGGCACAAGCTTTCTAAGTACAACATTCTGACTGCATTAATTTGTTGCATTTCTAGCTTCTTGTTCAGTCATATTGATAAAGTTAGAATAAACAATACAGTACCCACGGCTTTTATATTAATACAACAAGCAGATGTGCCACAGGGTTCAATGTTAAGTCCATTACTATACATAATATTTGTGAATGATATCAGCTTT